AATAAATAAATTAATTAATTAATAAATAGACAAATAAATAGATAAATAAATAGACAAATAAATAAATAAATAAACAAACAAATAAATAAATAGACAAATAAATTAATAAATAGACAAATAAATTAACAAATAAATAGATACATAAATAGACAAATAAAAAATAAATAAATATAAAAATAAATAAATAAACAAACAAACAGACAAATAAATAAACAAATAGACAAATGAATGAATAAATAGACAAATAAACAGACAAATAAACAGAGAAATAAATAAATAAATAAATATTCTAATAAATCTTTAAACTAGAAATACAGAATAAATTGTGGAGACAATATTTCTCCTTTTTTAATTATTTATTTTTTTTAAAGTTGTAAAATAGTGAAAACAAGATTTTGGTGTATTTAAATGTATATTATTTTGAATAATTTTCAAATCAACTGTGTAAATTATTTTAAAATGCACTGTAAAAGTAAAATATAATGAATAATTATTCACATTATTTTGAAGTACCCAAAATGTCAGTATTGTGCATTATCATGATACATTGAATCGTGGCATATGTTTATGTTTCGGATCTCATTCTTTCCACTGTTTATGCGTTATATTACGACCTTGCGTTTACATTTAGTGTGTTATATTATCCGGTGTTATAAGGAGCTGATGCTTCAGCACACTCACTGTATTCATGCATGTATGTGTGAGTGTGCCGTGTTTGAGTCTGCGCTGTGGTATTTCCATCAGTACATCTCAGCAGTCGCTTCAAGCCGTATGCTACACACGAGCACATTTAGGTCAGCCAAGAGATGCACATACATGTAGGTCAGGCTGGATGCCGGCGCTGGTCTGACGTATGGACGCTGCTGGCCCTCATTTCAGCTCTATATGACTCGCTTTATACTGACAGCACATTCACTTTCACTGTTTGACCTTATATATGTTTAAAGGAGACCAACTATGCTCGCTTTTACAAGATGTAAAATGCGTCTCGCATGTCTCTAGAGTGTGGAGTGAAGATTCAGCTCAAACGTACCACACAGAGAATGCTCTCTAGTGAGGTGTTGATCCTAATTGTGGTGTTTTGGTGACTGTCGCTTTAAATGCAAATGAGATTGTGCTCTTTTTAGAAGAGGGCGGAGCTACACAGTACACATACCTAAATTTAATATTAGATGTGATTAATAACGATTCATTTTTCCCAGCACTGGTTTCTACGGGTGGTTTGTTAAACCCACTCACCTGCATAAAGGACACATCTTAAATGTGATTGTAAGAAAGTGTCTGGTGCGAAATGGTAAAACTTTTAAAGTGTCTGGGAGATGAAAGAGTGTTTTCTACAGGTGGTTTATCAGGCCCACTCACCTGTGAAATGTGAAAAGCGTCTATATTGCAATGCGAGTTTTTCCCCCAGCTGTAATTCAGATGCACTCTTGACTGTAACTCTGGATCTGATCATTGTGAGCTGTTGTGTAACAGTGTTTGGGTCACTCCTGGGTCATTATCTCTCATGTCTGCTGCTGGATGTTTGTTTGGCTGAAACAGCAGTTGCTGATGAAGGAAACGCGGTTCAGAAGTGACACTCTTATGTAACGCTGTGATGAAGGCTCTCTGTCTGCTCGTGTTAGCATGTGCTGAAGGTGTGCTGCTGACTGTGTGTCTCTCTGCTTTATTTGACTTTACTCATGAATCTTTCATGCTTGTCACTCACATTTCATCTGTGTTGACGCTGATTTAACTCTACTTGAGCAATCGGGGCTACAGTGACACTGACTGAAGGATGGCTGAAGACCATTACTTTAATATTGGGTCAGTTGGTGTTTCTGTGTGGAGTTTGCATGTTCTCCCCATGTTGGCGTGGGTTTCCTCTGGGTGCTCCAGGTCTCCCCCACAGTCCAAACACATGGGTTATTGGGGAGTTGATGAACTACGTTGGTCAAAGTGTGTGATTGAGTGTGTATGGGTGTTTCCCAGTACTGGGTTGCATCTGGAAGGTCATCCGCTGTGTAAAACATATGCTGGATAAGTTGGTGGTTCATTCCGTTGTGGCCAGCCCTAATGAATAAAGGGACTAAGCCGAAAAAGACAATGATTGAATGAAATATTTATTCTGATAATGCTTCATATTGATAATGCAATTAGCATATTTTATTATATGCAGAATGTACATATTATTAGTTACATCATAATAAGCATTTTTCAAAGAAATTAAATTTTAATAATAATAATAAGCTTTATTATTGTCATTAATGATAACAAAAAATAAATAATAATAATAACGCAGTGTACAAATAACAAAAATATATTAATTTGGTTACAAGTATTAATTTATTATTTATTATAAATATCTATTCTAATAATTCTACAAATTGATAATGCAATTTTTATATTTTTGATATATTAAAATATACATAATTTACATATTAGTAGCATCATCATTAGCATTTTGATAGATTAGGAGATTAAGTTTTTTCAAATTATATTATTATTATTATTATTATTATTATTATTATTATTAATTTTATTAGTATTTTATTATACATTATTATTATTATTATTATTATTATTATTAATTTTATTATTATTATTTTATACATTATTATTATTTTATTAGTAGTAGTAGTAGTAATTTTGTAATAAAAATAATTATTATTAATAATATTAATTTTATCATTAATAATAATAATTTATTGTTAATTCATTATTATTATTATTATTATTATTATTATTATTGTTATTAATATTATACATTAATATTATTATTATTATTAATGATAAAATAATAATATAATATAATAATAATAATAATAATAATAATAATAATAATAATAATAATGGTAATAATAATACTTATTATTATCATATATTATAATTCAGTAACAATTTGAGAACAAATATATGCTGGAATAATAGAGTACATTTAATTTATTTCGCTGTCATAAATATTATGAATACTTGGTAGAATTACTAGCTATGAAATAAATATTAATTCATTTATAATTAATTATTACACTAAACAAAATAAGGCATATTATAGTTATCATAACTGTTGTTGTTGTTGTTATTAATATTATTATTTTAATCCCATTTTTCCAGGCAGGAATGATATGTATGGGAGCAATGGATACACACACACACACACACACACACACACACACACACACACACAAAGACGCACATGTTGCTGCAGCATAAAAAAATGCACATCGGTCACTTAAACAATGACATTAACAGATTCATATATATATATATATATATGTGTGTGTGTGTGTGTGTGTGTGTGTGTGTGTGTGTGTGTGTGTAATGAGAATGACTGAGGATAAAACAGAATGAGCACTAGACCCCCAAACCACGCTCATTTCAACACTGATGTACATCTACACATTTACAGGCAGATTTTCTTTCCCAGAAAAAGATCTTGTGTGTTTGTGTGTGTGTGTGTGTGTGTGTGTGTGTGCTCTATCTGAGATCTTGTGTGCAAATGAAAGCTCATTAAGGCGTTCTTCATTATTTAGCACTGGTGTAGCCTGAGGGATGATAGTAACGTGTCACTATCTGTAAGAGGAGGAAGGAAAAAATGGATGCTGAAAGGACAACGTGGAGAAAACCAGGCAGGCAGAAAAGAGGAGGAGGAGCTGAGAAACAGGCAGCCAATCAGCAGCCACAGAAACAATCATGTGACTCAGAGAGAGAGAGAGAGAGAGAGAGAGAGAGAGAGAGAGAGAGAGAGAGAGAGAGATGTAATAACACTTTCATTTAAACAATTAATTACTATTATGTTTTAAAAATTACTTACCAAATATATTCCATTGCAATTAAAAAATAAATGTCAGTAAATACATAGTTAACACATTAAATAAATGAATAGTTCATACATTAACTGAATTATTGTATATTAATAAATGCATTAAATAAATACCAATTGATCATAGTGTTTTATCTGGCGTTTATTTTTTATTTGCTGTGTATTCCAGTAATTTGATAATGTTAACATATTTCACAAATATTTATACATATTTAAAATGCTTTGGCAATACTGTACAAACTGTCATGCTAATAAAGCAACTTGAACATTATTACAATTATACAAAACATACAAACACAATCCATCACATGCAAACTTAAAATGATCTTAGCAAAAAGAAAAGTTCGTCTTAAAAAAGGAAAAAAAATCATGCATTAATTTATGATATTAAAAATCAATTACAAAACTGTATTTTAAAGGATTTAGAGAGTCAGGACAAAGCTTGTAACAAACATTCCAAACCATCTGAATAAGTATTTATATATATATATATATATTTTTTTTTTTTTTTTTATTGTATTCTATTTTATTTTATTCTATTCTATTTTTTTTTGTTTTATTCTATTAATTTTATTACTTTTTATTTCATTTTATTTCTATTATTCTATTTTATGTTATTTTACTCTGTTATTTTATTTTCTATTTATTTTATTGTATTATTTATTTTGTTATGATCTATTTTATTCTATTATATATTATTCTATTTTATCTATTATATTCTATTTTATTCTATTATTTTATTTTTTATTTTATTTTATTCCATTTTATTCTATTTTATTTTATTTTTTCTATTTAATTTTTTCTATTTTTTTTATTATTTTATTTTATTTATTCTATTTTATTCTGTTATTTTTATTTTATTTTATTCTATTTTATTATTTTATTTAATTTATTCTATTTTATTCTGTTATTTTTATTTTATTCTATTCTATTTTATTTTATTGTATTTATTTTATTATATTATTTTTATTTTTGTATTTTATTGTATTTTTCTCTTCTATTTTATTTTAATTATTTTATTTTATTTATTTATATTTTTGTAATGTGTTCTGTTTATTTTTCTTTTTCTTTTATTTTATTACTAATATATTTTGTATTTAATTCTTTGCATTTTAATTTAAATCAGAGAGCAAAAGAGTGAATGAGAGAGAAAGAGAAATGAACAAAGAGAGAGAGAGAGAGAGAGCGAGAGCGAGAGCGTGCGCTGCTCTTCCAGTCAGCTCTCAGTGCTGCTCAGTCTATTGTTGCGTGCAGAATCCACAGCAGCAGATCCTCATACAGAAACACTCCAGCATCACATCTCAGAACTCAAGCAGAGAAAGAGGAGCATTAGCAGAATGTCCTCGCTCTCCAACCAGCAGCCGGCGTCTCCGTTCCCAGACTACAGCGAGCTCTGTAAAGTCCCCTCCATGCCCACCTCTGCCCCTCCTCCGGCATGGGACTGGCAGCACGGAGACCTCAGCGCAAAGCCCAATTTTAGCGTTCGAGCTCCTGGAATGACCGACGAGGACAAACTCTGCTTTTACGAGACACCGTCAGATCTGGGGCAAAGAAACATCCCGCCGAGCGTCTCATTCGGCAGCACTGGAGACAGTCCCGAAAGCCTGTCATCCTCCTCAGCTGCATCACCGGGAAAATTCACACCATTGAAATGCATGGAGGATAACGCCGGGATGATGCTTCTAGATGGCGTTCAAACACCGGTTGCACCCTTGGAGCCTCCAAACTACTGCGTGATCGGCGTAATCAATGACAGCTATTTGGAAAGCAGAGATGAGGAGGAGAAATGCGATGAAAGCGATGAAGAAGTGGATCTCCAGCCTTGTTTCATGGGTCGAGCGGAGCAGCAGAGGAAAGCCATGCGCAGAGCCATGTCTGAGTGTTCGCATCTGTCCGTTCCGGCTAGTTTGGAGCTCCCTGATAAATATCCTGGAGTTCTGGATGAGTTTGTGTCGCCTGTTATAGGAGCGTCTCGCCGTCAGCATGGGGCGGCTATGAAGCGCTCATTAACCGTAGCCGATGATCAGCCGCCGACTCCTCCGCCGGTACTGTCTGCCGGAGCCGCTCGCGGAGATCTGAGGAACGATCTGGATCTGTCGTGTTTTTCGATGAGTAAAAAGCAGAGCAGTTTCCCGCTCTCGCCGGTCGAGGACCTGTTGGAGGCTCCGTTCATTGAGAAAGATCAAGGAGTCGTTCTGGCCGTGCCGGTGAATGCGTGTGGTGTTAACGGGACGTGCAGGAGCGCTGATTCCACTGGCGGGATGATTGAGGGTAGGTGATGGATGCAGAATGAGTGTCAGGAGATCATACTCGTAGCCGTATAACACTTACAGTTCCTGCTTTAGATTTTTACACAGCATCAAGCGTCGGGAAAACATTCGATTTGATCTGATCAACATTTCTAGGTGTTATTCAATGACAACAACCAAACCAATTATTTGTGTGTGTGTGTGTGTGTGTGTGTGTGTGTGTGTGTGTGTGTGTGTGTGTGTGTGTGTGTGTGTGTATGCATGCATGCATGCATGTTTGTGTGTTTATGTGTGTATGCATGCATGCATGTCTGTATGTGTATGTATGCATGTGTGTGTGTGTATGTATGCATGCATGTGTGTGTTTATGTATGTTTTATGTATGTATAATAAATAGGTTAGTTAAGGCTACATAAAGACATATGTTAAGAACAATTTGTCTTTGTGCAAGTTTTATGTTTAATTAAAGAGTAAATTATTAAAGCTTAGATCAGTGTTTTGCCTTATTCTTTTAGTTTTGTGGCAAGTAGCTGTGTAATAAGTGGAATGATGTTCATTTAGCTGGTTGTCGTCACAGAATAGTTTAATAAATTTTTTGTTGTTTTGACAGGTTGACAGATTTAATTTGATTTATAATTATTTAAAATATATTTTTTTCATTTTAATTTTTGTTTAATTTTAATTGTATTAAATTATACTTTTTATTTTAATTTGATTAGTTTTATTTTTATGTAATTTTTATTTAACGTATTATAATTTTTATTATTACATTTAATTCAAATATTTTTTAACATAACTTTTTTGTTTAATTTAATTTAAATATCATTTTAATTTTTTTATAAAATTTTACTTTTATTAATTTTATTTTAATTTAATTTAGTTTTATTTTATTTTTAAATTAAATTTGAATTTAAATTTATTTATTTACATTTTATTCTCAATTTAATTTAATGTTCATTTTTTACTTTTTATTTAAATTAAATTTTAATTTCTATTATTTTTACTTGTATTTAGTTTATTTTTATTTTATTTTTAAATTAAATAAAATTTTAAATACAATTTATTTATTTTAATTTAATTTAATGTAAATTAATTTTATTAATTTTTTATTTAATACATTTTTATTTCATTTTGTTTTTATTTTGTTTGTTTTTTGTTTTTATTTTGTTTTTGGTTTTTGTTTTATTTTATTTAATTGTTTCATTTTTTATATTTAATTTAATTTTGTTTAATAATTTTATAATTTATTTTATTTTATTTAAATTTAGTTTTATTTTATTTTTTTAATTACATTAAATTTAAATAAAAATTTATTTATTTAACATTAGTTTTATGTAATTTATTTTACTATTTTTTTAATTTTGCAATTTTATTTTTATTTTTTATTTTTAATTTAATTATTTAATTTAACAATTAAAAAAAATTTATTTAATTTAGTTTGTTTTATTTTTTTATTTAATTGTTTTTTATTTAATTTATTTTAATTTAATTACATTTTTAATTAATTTATATTTAATTTTATATTTAATTTAATTTAATTTTATGTTTATTTTGTTTTATTTTATTTTGCAACTTTGTGACCAACAGAAAATGTAAACGTCTCACCTGAGTTATTGTACTTGATTACACAGACGCTGTCCTAAAAGAGTTTAGTCTCTAAAAATGTGTCATACTTGCAAAACTAAAACATCAGAATTGGTGTTTAACAAGACAAACTTGTTTTGTTCTTAGAAAGACATCCCTAATTTTAGGCTATAATGAGAGGATCATTTCTAAAAGCACAACATGACATTAATGATGTTAGATACTCAAACAGAGCCTCAGAAACTGGTTGAATTGGAATTCTTCTTGAAGGTGAATGGTGTAGCAGACACAGCATGTGATGCAAGTATATAATCAGGCACAGAGAAAACTGGTTGTTGCGCTGATATTGCTGCATCTCTAGATTTAGGCTATAATCAGAGGATGATTTTTCAAACATGGCATAATTAACCTTAGAAATGGAAATGGAGCCTCGGAATGCATGTAATGGTTGAATTGGAGTTTAATGGTGTAGCAGAAACAGTACTGTATGTGATGCAAATATAGTGAGTGTTGAGCGTGTACGACACAATCACGCCACTGCCAAACGCATGCTCATTACCGGCTGCAGACGAGCCAGAGTAAGTCATTTCTGCCCTGATTTCCTGGAGTTAAACCCACCCCTCAGCTAATCCAGGTCACACATGATTTCTGCATGTTTAATGATAGATAGACGCACTCTTGTGCTCAAAAGCTGACCCTCAGAGCAGTCTTTGGGTTCTATAATGAGAAATAAAGAGTAGTTTAATGCATTGTTCGTCTTGAATGAAATGCATTGTGCTAAATGTCTAGCCTCATGGGATGCAATGCAATGGCTCATTAAATAGTTAGAAATGCATGCGTACATCATGCATCATGGATGCATGATGGCTCATATTCATTTGATTTGGGATTTGTATTTTACAGAAAGGCATGTGCATTGGATGCATTGTACATTGCATTAGGTAAAAGCACTGTAAATGAAGATGACAGCAGTATTTTTGTTTGTTTTATTACACAAATAATCAAATTTGTGTGGTCAAGCAGTGCACAGAGAAATCTCTGTTGTGCTATTGAGAAATGAGAAAGTAAATGACACTCATTGTGAAAAGCTCAACGCCTCTAGGGGATGCAAACATGGCAGATTAAACGCATGAAGAGGAAGGCATGTGTGCTAATGATGCTCAGTTGTAGCATGCATATTCAAGCTAATGTCTTTGGTTTTTGGTTTGATTCATGTACAAGAGGATTTATTGGTTTTATATACATTCCTCATTGAAATGAGCAGTACAGTAGATCATGTTTAATGGATGCATCGCAAACATAGACTGTAAAATATATGGACGTGGTATCCGTGACGTCACCCATAGGTTTCTGAACACTGCAAAAGCAGCTACAAGTAGGCGCGGTCACCATTATTTTCGCACGTCATCACACCCACCATGGCATACCAAACAAGGGCAAAGAGGCGGAGAGTGGGCGGAGCTACAGACACCTGCTGGCATTTTGCTTGGACCTGGCTTAGAGACACTTTACTTTGGGAGAAACGGTTAATACTTCATTACCTGCGACTCGTTTGTGTTCTGACCACATGTGCTTGGCTGTGTACTACATCAATAAAGTGTTTAGACTTTTAAAAACACTGCTATAATACACAGAGCTAAACGCAAAATACGTCCAAACACTTCAGATGTAGTCTGTGTAGTCTAGTAAATGCAAGACTGTTGATGAACTCCACGCATAACACTGTATGACAACGCTTCAGACGGCTGTTCTAGAGCCTGCAGCTAATCAATCTGTCAGATTCTGGAGGGCATTACAGCTCTAAAGACAATTATGAATGATAAATAATCTTAAATAAAACAAATGCATGTATAGAGATGGTATACAAGTATATAACTTCACTCACCTTGGAAATGGAGGCAACTTGAATGGTTTGTGAGCACAGTTAAGTGCACACAGCATGCCATATCATCTGATAATTGTAGGAAATAATCCCAAAAGGCAACTGACTGTGTAGAGAAACATTAACCAAAACAAAAATGCGATGTACATGCCGAGTTCAGCAGCTAATCAGCCGGAATCAGTTGAGATGAAGTGATGGCGATCAGCGAGACCTAGCTGTCACTCAAGTGGCCACGCCCTTAATTATGCAGCCTTAATATAACCTAATATAAATGAAACGGATGAATTATAAAAATATTCACCCCCTCTCACAGTTGTCATGAAGGTTTATCATAGCTATATGCACCCACACTATCTTCTGTATCAGGCTGTAAACATGTTTATCAGCTGTAAAAATGGCCAATTAAGCATTGCAGTCAGAAATCACCTGGATTTCCTGTAGCCACCCCCCCAAGGCAAGTTGATGAATTGCAGTTTTAGTTACTCCCGTGTTGGCTTCCCGAGGGGGAGCGGGAGGTTGCCGCTTGATCACAAACCACGTTAAATAAAAACTCCTTAAAGGGACAGTTCACTCACATTTAAAAACATTTGTGCTCTGTGCTAAAGACAGAGAAGATGAAATGTCAAAACAAGACTAGCAAATTGATCAGTAAAAGCAACAAAAGAACGAGTAATCAAGGAATAAAAGCAAGAGAATTTAGATACTGTAGCTCTTAAAAATGGACTGAGGGTGCTTTCACACCTGTGAACCGATTCAGTTGTTCTGAAACAGGGATTAAAATGGTTACATTGTTGCTCTTTGCTCTTGGTGCGGTTCACTTTCACACGGCAAAGTTTCTAAACGGACCAAAAGAGCTAAAACAAGTCACGTGTGAGTAAACTCTCCTCACATTGGTCCAAGTTTCATGGTTTATTTTGCAGAGTCCTGCTCAGCTGTAAGGGGGGGTGGTGGTTTGGTGGTGTCTGACAAGGTGAGCACGACGTGTCTGAAGAGCGAGGAGGGATGCGGTGAGAAGGGTCCGCGACGTATTTGAAGACCGGGAGGGAGACGCATGATAATATCACTCGTTTGGGGCATCCGAGACTCTCTGTGCATTTGCGGGACACTCGGGATGTCTGTTGAATGACCTCCCGCCCTACTCATAATTCTCTCTTCATATAGCCGTATGCATATTAATACACTGTGATATAACCGGGCTTGGATCATTTGCTTTCTCATTACAATCGATCCGCTCCAGAGTTCGTTTCAATCGAACCGAGACCACCTCATTCAAGCGATATCGGAGCGATTGTTTTGTTGTGGATTCGAGTGTGATTGCTGGTTTCACATATGCCAAACGAACCGCGCTAACCGGGCAAACGAGACAGGTTCCCAAACGAAAGTCTAGGTGTGAAAGCACCCTCAAACACAGAAATAGAGGAAGGAAGTCTAATGTGAGAGGCAGAATGTTATAGTTTTTTATTTGTATATTTTAATAGTTATAAGTGTCCTCTGTTTATATTACTCTGTAATTGCATTATGGGATGTTGATCTCTGCTCTGTCCACTTCTGATGTT